GGGGGATGCGCTAAGGGGCCCCAGGCTTCCTTAAGAATCCGCTGAGGATCCCCAAGGATCCCTAGGGTTTCCCTTGGGACTGCTAAGGGTCCCTAGATCTTTACGGTGTTCCTGGGGGGCGCGCTAAAGATCCCAAAAGGATCCTGAGGCTTTCATTCGGAAGCAGCGAAACATCCCCACGGATCCCCAACATTTCCTCGATCAGGGTTCCGCTAGGGATCCCGAAAGATCCGTGGGACCCCCCTCGGATCCGCTAGGGATCCTCAATGATCCCAGAGATTTCCTAGGGAGAAAGATCCTGAGGATCCGCTGAGGCGGTGGCGTGGCGGGGCGGTGGGACCGCGGGGGTGCGGAACAGGGGTGTCTCGGGGCAGTGGCGTGAAGTCTCGGGTTCGTGGGGCGGCGGGGTGACATGGCGGTGATGTGGTAGGCGGTGGGGTCGCGGGGTCGTGAGAACTTGTGGTCGCGGGATCGGGTCGCGGGGTGAGAAGGTCGCGGGTGGCACGGGGTCGTGGGGGCATGGGGCGCGGGGTCCAGGGGTCGAGGGGATTTGCAAGCAGCGCGCATAACGGGACTATCCGCCGAGTAAACTCGGATGCCATGATGGTCATTTTGCCAGCCGGATGGGCTCTAATGCCGCCGGATGGACTCTAACTTAGCGCCGGATGGAGTCTATGGACTCTATCGGTTCGTCGGATGGAATCTGTTTTGCGCCGGATGGACTCTTTTGTCGCCGGATGGGCTCCAATCTCGAGCGTCCATTCGGCGCCGGATGGTCTCCATTTTTTTTGATCGGTTTTTGGGCACCTCCCACGCCGCGCGCTCGATGGAGTCCATTCGGCGCGCCAAATAGGCTCCTTTTCGGAAGGGCCGGGATATTCCCAGAACATTATGAATCCTGGTTGATATGTTTTGGGGGTCGATATCCCCAGAACATTATAAACGAAGGTTTCTAATGATCTGGGGGAACATTACGAACACCAATCAATACTCCCAGAACATTGAAACCCAAATTCATAATGTTCCGGGGAGACATTAAAAAACCGGGGTCTACAATCCTGGAACAAGCCCTGGTTAACATCTATCTGGGATCCATCCTGCAAGCGGGATGTCTGAATATGGCGAGAGCGCGATTCCTACGTAAATTGTGACGGCGTCCTTGGAGCAGCGTGTTTCCTGAGCGTCGAAAGCGCGATGTCTGAATACATTGCGTGGAAGTCACAAGCGAAAGCGCAATTCCTGCATACAATGTGAAGGGTTCTCTGGCGGGAGCGGGGGTCTTGATTACATTGCGAAGAGATCTCAAACGGGAACGCTGTTCCTGAGTAAATTGTGAGGAAGTCTCAAATGGGAGCGGGGGTCCTGACTAAATAGCGAGGGGGTCACAAGCGGGAGCACCGACCCTGAGTAAATTGTAAAGAATTCTCAAACGGGAACCGGGGTCCTGAGTAAACTTGGAGGAAGTCTCAAACGGGAACCGTTGTTGTTGCTGCAATCCAAGGGGCCAGGGGCGCACTTGGAGCATCAAAACCTTCCCTGTCGAAAAAACAAAATGCGAGCGTCGAGGGACACATTTTGATTGATAAAAATATGCACCTGTGAGGGCGGATCATCCATCATTATTATTTAGAGATCATCGTTCAACAACAACAATCATTTTAAGACTGTTCGCTCGTATCTGCTCGCGTGTCATTCAATATGCATATCCCAAACCCTGGATGCCCGCCCTCTTCGTCTTCGATCGTGCCCCCTTTTGGAGGGTATCTTCACTCCCTGCCACGCGTGGTTGGTGAAGCCCTTGAAAACGAAGGGTAACAAATCACGGGGGATAGTGTGGACGAAGGGGTCGGGGGAAGGGAAGGGCGGGGCAAAAAGGAGGGAGGACGATGATTTGCGCTGCGAGTGGCGATTCAGCTTGCGCCATGGCTTGCGCCAGCCACTCCAGCACAGGTTAACACATAAACAGCGCCACGTACCACGCCTTGAAAGAACATATCGTGGATACCCCCACGGGGGGACGTACAGCTGCGAACTGGTGTCAACACAAATGTCGTGGAACCCTGAAAAGACGCGGGATGTTGGGAGAGTGGGGCAGAAGGATCGTGAGAACTGCAGAGGTGTCGAGAGGAACGCGGAAGCCCCAAGTGAGAGCGCGATTCTTCAATACATTGTTAGGAAGTATCAAGCGGGAGTAGCGATACGGTGGTAAATTGCAAGGAAGTCCCACGCGAGAGCGCGATTCTTCGAGACATTGTGAAGAAGTCTCAGGCGGGAACCGTTGTTGTTGTTGTTGTTGCTGTTATTGTTGTTGTAAACCGGGGGCCAACGACACTGTTTGACCCTCAATATTTTATTTTTTCTTGTTTATATATATATAAAACAGGGTGCGAGCCCCGGGAAGGGCACTTCAATCGAAAAAGAAATGTGCACCTGACGGGGGGATCAACAAAACTTATTCTTCAGAAGTGAGAATTCAACAGCAACAACAACAACAACTACAACTACTACAACAACGCAACCAACAAAAATCCCACCACGACACCCACCAGCCCACTGGGCGTTGGTGGTCTAGAGCGTTTCCTCTTGCACCTCCCTTCTTTCCTTGCGGGGAAGGGTTTATTACAGTTCCCTGTTAAGAAACACTCCGTCCCCCAGGCGACTGGGAGCCAACCGCGGTCAATGCGGGCCCCCCCCCACCATCCCTTATTTAAAAAAACAATACAAAACACATTCTGCCTCCAAATTCGGAGCGTGAGCAGCCAACCCGGCCCGGCCTCACCCCACCACCCCTGTCAAACAAACAATGCAGAGTACACTTGGCGGCGGCGGCGGCTGCGGCGGCTGCGGCGGGTGCGGCAGCGGCGGCGGCTGCGGCGGCGACGGCGCGGCGGCGGGCGGCGCGGCGGCGACGGCGGCGGCGGCGGCGGCGGCGCGGAAGCGGCGGCGGCGGGCACCAGCGGCGGCGGCGGCGGCGGCGGCGGCTGCGGCGGCGGAGGCGGCGGCGGCGGCGGATTGGCCCCCAGTAGCTGCCCATCCAAAGACGACTGCTGAAGATGCTGAGGCTCGGGCCAGACTCGGGCGCTACGTATGTGTTGGGATGGCGTGTGGGAGTGAGCGAGACTGCTTGCGGGCGGGGAGGGAGTCTTGATCCCTCCCCCTACCTCCTCCCCTGGACCTGGACGAGGCGCCCCGCGAGCGGTCAGGGCGTCCAAAACGGCCTCGGCGAGAAAGCCAACATCATTTGTTTGACAATGGTTTTGGCTCCATTTTGGCCTCTTGGGGGGGCGGCCTTAATTAGGGACCCCCCCTTCCTTGATCGATCTCCTGCGAAATGGCCCCACGAACGCTCCAAAGGCTCCCAAGGGTGCCCCAAAAGGGCCCCAAGAGGTGGCCAGGATGCCCCAAGAGGCACCCAAAAGGCCCCCAGGATGCCCCCAAGAGGCTCCCAAAAGACCCCCAAGAGGCCCCCCAGAGGCACTCAAGACGCTCCAAGAGGCCTCGGCGACAATGCCAAACTCACTGATTTTACGAAGGCTTTGACTACATTTTGGCCTCCTGGGGGGGGGGCACTGTTTAAGATGACTCCAACAGCGCCTGGAGGAGCCCAAGATGATCTCCAAAATGGCTCAAGATCCCAAGATGCCTCAAGATGGCTCCCAAGATTCTCCAAGAGGCCCAAAGACCGCTCCAAGACGGCTCCAAGTGGCTAAAGAGTTCCCCCAGGAGGCCCCGAAGAGGCCAACATGCTTCCAAAACCTTGAGGAAATCCATACTTTTGGCTTTTTCGCCTTTTCGCTTCCGATGGCCATCCGAGGCCTCAAGATGGCTCCAAGAGCGCTCCCAAGGCTCCCAAGAGTGCTTCAAGAGGCGCCTAGGAGACCCCAACAGGCGCCCAAGAGGCCTCCAAGAGGCTCCAAAGAGACCCCCAAGAGGCCCCAAGAAGCTCTCCGAGGCACCCAAGACGCTCTAAGAGGCGCCCGGGACCGCCAAGAGGCTCCCAAGACGCTCCAAGAGGCCTCCACTGGGGGACCCTTCCTCTGTGTGCCGCCCACTTCCCTGATCGAGGCAATTCCTCTGGGCATAGTTTCTGGATGGGCTGGTGGAGTTACTTTTTTGTCGCAGCCGCAGGCGAAGGCGCAGGCGGCGTCAAACGGGACGGACGGGCCACGCGCGAACCTAATTGCCTAACGCGCCGGCAAACCGAAGGCCAAAGCGGCACCAAAGCGGACCAGAAGCGAGAGGTGGTGCGGGCTGTAGCTGCCGGGAAATAGGCCCAGGAGCGAGCACATGCATATTAGCCAACCAAGGTTGGGGCGCGGGCTGGTGGGGTTACGCGAAGCGTCAAGAATTCCTTATTCAAACACGCAGCCAGGGACAATGAATGACCCTTCGGCCCCCTCACTCTGATTATCGGTCCAAGTGGCCAAAGTAGCCTCCAGACGGCTCAAAAGGTTTCCAAAACGCCACAAGAGGCCTCCAAGAGGACTTCCACGAGGACCCCAAGGGGCAAACATCATCGAGTTCCCGTAGGTTTTTCAAACAATTCGGCATTCTCGCCTTGTCAGCTGTCCGACGCTCCAAGACAGGCCAAGAGGCACCCCCAAGACCACCCCAAGATGGCCAAAGAGGCCTCCAAGAGGCTTCCAGGACAGCCGAAGAAGCCCCCAAGACGGCTCCAAGAGGGAGCCCAGACGAGGGACCCGAACGGTGATTTCGCGCCCTCGGCCTGAGAAACTCCCAGGAGGCACCCCAGATGCCGCCAAGAAGCACCCCAAGAGGCCCCAAGAGGCTCCCAGGAGACCCCCAGGAAGCCCCAAGAGGCCCCCAAACTAGCCCCTAGAGGCACCCGAGAGCGCTCGTCGTCGTCGTCGTCGTCGTCGTCGTCGTCGTCGTCGTCGTCGTCGTCGTCGTCGCCATTCAGGGTCGACGGCACTGGCCGTAAGGCCTTCGCAATATCTTGCCGTGCTCCGTCCTCCCGCGAATGGCCCCCCCCTCAGGACCGGCAGGATCTTGGACCCGCCTTTCTCCAGCAAGTCGTAGACGCCTTGCAACGCCAGAAAGCGGTAAGGCTCCTGGCCGCCAGCAGCACAATTCGCAGTGGCCCTCGAAGTCTGTGCTGTCCCGGGCCGTCTGGGGGCCCAGAGGCCGATCAAACGGAGCCTGCCGAAACTACGAAGCAGGCGCCCTCTTCCGCAAAGCCAGTCTTCCTCCTCCTCCTCCTCCTCCTCCTCCTCCGCAGTGCGGGCGCAAAGGCGGGTCTCCGCCGCAGCCCGCGCCGCGCGCGCGCGGCCCGCACGGCGCGACGCACGGCCCTAACAACTTCCAAATGCCTTCGAGGAACCTCTGAGGGGCCTCAGAGAGCAGGATCCTCGGGCGGCCTCGGAAGGGGAGGGCCCAAAAGGCCACAGGAACCCGAGAGGCCCCCGCCATGAAGGAGAGACCTGCTCCTCCGCCTCCTCCTCCTCCTCCTCCTTCCACTCTCCCCCTGCTGTTTTGGAGGTCCCTGCAGGTCCCTGGAAGTCTCCCCAGGTGCCCGGAAGAGGCCTCGTGGGGAAGAGGGCAGGGCCGGGCGCGGGGGAGGGGGGAGAGCCGTTTGCGTCCAGGGGCCGAGGATCCCTGGGGCCGCCGTTGTAGCGCTGCGCTCGGCCCGCGCGGGCCGTGCCGCGGCCCTCCACGCCCGGGGGCGGCGAGGCGCCGCCGCGGCGTGAGAGGCAGAAGGGCAGAGCCGTGTCCGTAGGCTCCAAGATGGCCTCCCTCGTCCTGACCTTCCCCTTCTCCCCTTCTCCCTTCTCCCTTCTCCCTTCCCCTTCTCCCTTCTCCCTTCCCCTTCTCCCTTCTCCCTTCCCCTTCTCCCTTCCCCTTCTCCCTCCCTCCCCCTCGTCCTCCCCTTGCCCTTCTCCATTTTCCTCAGTGGAGGCTGGAGGCATCGATCTCTTATCTGCGCGGAGTCCGCGTAAGGGGAGGTCCAAAAGCACAAGCAGTGATTCGATGGTGCTTCGGCCGATCTGGTGGCCCGCTGGGTTGTCTGGCGAAACCTATGGCGCAGTCTGTGGATTGTAGACAGAGCGGGGACTCGTGATTTGGTGACCCGCGGCGGGTCTGGTGCAACCTATGGGGCAACCTGTTGAACGTGGATCAATAGGGGGAAAACAAACCTACCTCGCTTTTGACCACCCTCGCTTCCAAGATATACCAAACGATGCCAAACTACGGCCTGTGCTGGTCAGGCTGCTTGACGAGGAGGCGCGTGGTATGACTTGGTTTTGCCTGGAAGCGAAAGCGGGGTAGGTAATTCACGCTCTGAATCAAGGAAGTCGCGATTTGGTGACCCGCGGGAGCTTGGAACAACCCATGGCGCACCCCATCGCGATTTGGTGGCCCCACGGTCGCCCCAAGCGGACCAAGAGCATCCCATGAGGTGGCCCCGCCAATGTCCTCCTTCTCGCGGAGACCGTCGAAGAACAGGGGCAAGTAGTGGTGATAGTCCTACGGCGGATGTGCAGCAACTGTCCGAATGACCCGGCCCCCTCCATCTCGTTTGTCAATCGTCTTGCCCTCCGCCCTCCCCCTCCTTCCACACGCTGCTCCCTAATACCCGTTCATCATGGAGCGCTATTGTGCTAGAAGAGTGGTAGGGAGTGGCGACCGACGGCTTACTTTCGGTCGTTGACTCCACGCTTTTCCAGGACTGCCAGCAGCACGTAGCGACTGACATGAAGCAGACGGCAACCGATGACAGGCAAACTATCGCCGATCCGCTGTCTCACCATGATCAGGAAGAGGGGCACTACAACTGTGAACCCATCGGTGTGTAGCTCGAGTGTCAGCCGCAGCAAGTGCGGCAACTCTCGGAACTAGTCATGCGGCCAAGATCGAGGGGCGCCGAATCGCGTTCCGACACCAGCGGCCGCTCTGTCCGCAGAACTCCTGCCTGTTCTGTCCGTGTGGCCCTCCCTGCCAGCAGGGGGATCGTCGCAGCCACGCGTCTGTCAGGTGGCGGCAACCGGACCGTGCACCCACCAACCATCGCTTCTCCTGAATCAATTGGAGGCGGGGGCAGGGTTCGGATTTGGCCACGTGTCCGACGGGTTCCGAATCCGACCCCCGCCGCCCATCGATGTGCCGGAAAATCGTTGGACGGCGAGGGCAGGGCTAGGACTTCGCCGCCGAGCAGCAGGATCGTCACAATCGCACGTCCCTCTTGTAGCCCCGTGCAGGGCAGGGGGCGGCCTAGGAGAGGGCAAGACACAGCCAGCGTCGGGAGCCGAGCGTCCGTCCTCGTCCCCGTTTCGCTGCACGTTTTCCCGACTGGGCAACTGCTGCTCCTGCTGCTGCTGTTTCTCCTCCTCCTCGTCCTCCTCCTGCTGATCTTGCTGCTGTTGCTCCTCCTCCCCCTTGTTTCCCCCTCGTCCCCCCCCATCCTCCTCCGCCTCCTCCTCCTCCTCCTCCTCCTTTTCTTCTCCTTTCTCCTTTTCCTCCTCCTCCTCCTCCTCCTCCTCCTCCTCCTCCTCCCCCTTGTTTCCTCCTCCTCCTCCTCCTCCTCCTCCTCCTCCTCCTCCTCCTCCTCTGGCCCCCTGTCACTGATGCTGTTCCTCCTGCTGCTGCGGCTGCTCCTCCTTCCTGATGCTCCTCCTTCTCCTTCTCCTCCTCCTATTTCTCCCTTCATATCTCCACCCATCTCCCCCTCCTTCTTTCCACCGTCTTCGCCATTCCTCCTCTTTCTGATGCTGACCCTTCCTGCCGCGGCCCTGCTGCTGCCGCTGCTGCTGCTGCTAATCCTTGCAGAACCGCCGAACGACGGTGACCTGTACCTCCTCAAATGTGGGCTCGGCCTAACGGAGATGGATGGGCCCGAGTATGGAGGGAGGCTGAGCCAGAGTGAATGGACGATGAGCCAGGGGGAAGGAGTGGAAGGATGCGGAGGATGCGGAGGAGGAGGAGGAGGAGGAGGACGTGAAGAAAGCCGCGGGGACATGTAATGATGAGGCGAGCTGGGGAGGCGACTGAGTAAGTACGTACCCTTGTAACAATCGTGGCAACCGCAATTTCAGTGGTCTAGACCATACTACAGATCTAGTTGCGGCTAGCGCCAGCAACAACAATAGGCACTGGCGGTAGGAACAACAATACGACTGGAAAACCAAGCATACTATGACACCAACGTCCAGCTTCTCCACGTCGACCTTCCACGAGATCTTGCCCCCCGTGCCCTCGCGGAAAGGTGAACGGTGGGACGGTAAATGAAAACATGGGGGTCGAACGAAAGATGCTGTCGGAAACTCCTCACGCACGCGCTGTCAGCACTAAGAGACAGGACGGGACATGGATGATAATGACCGCTAGAAACAGGATGTAAAGTTGGAATCATATGTGATTGACGGGTACGCGATGCGCATGGACAGCGGTCAATATACTACTGGTGACATGCTGTCTGCGAGCGTGGGCCCCATGCAATGAGTTATTGAAGCCTGGATGTGCAAGCTAGGCGGTCAACACGATGGGGAACAACTGATGTGGTGCGAGCTGTTGTCTGAGCTACGTGGTGCACTACATGTGGGGCGATGTATGTGGTGTATGCTATGCGGTGCAAGCTACGTGGCGCAATCCATGTGATGGTATGCATGTGGTTTGTGGTGCCGTACATGTAGTATAGGCTGTGGTGAGTGCTATGTGTTGCAAGCAATGTGGCGCAATCTATGCGGTGTTAGGGATGCGGCTGCAAGCTACCTGGTGCATGTTGTGTGGTGCATGCTATGTGGTGCAAGCTCTGCGGCGCAAGCGATGTGGTGCAAACTATGCTGTGCAATCCATGTCGTGAAAGCTGCGCAATACGGGCTGTGTGGTGCAAGCCATGTGGTGCAACGTGTGATGCAAGCCCTGTCCACACGGTGCGCGGCGCGGCGACGAGTCGGTGACAAGCAGGCACCGGGCGAAAACCAGGCAGCCCCTTCCAATCACTTGGAACCCGAATAAGGCTCTCGTGGTGCAAGCGCTGACCGCGTAGGGTGGCGAGAGAGAGGCGACGGACGGCCCCCGTGCGGACATCCAGGACTGCCAGCCAACGCACGAGGAGGCGACGAGGCGGTGAGGGGCAGCCACCGTGCGGACACCTGGAAATGCCACCCAATCATTTCTGGAGCAGAGTAAGAACCCCTCAGTGGAAGCACCGCTTGGGAAAGAGGCACGCTCTGCGCGCGGTGCGCAGGCCCATGCCAACCAGAAACCACAATTCGAGCGCTGCAGCCCGTGATACATGTCCGGCCACACGCACGCAAATCGCCCAGATGCTGAACATAGGCACTCCCCATCGCTCGCACAATTATTCCCCGTGCAAATGTCGGTTTCGTCCGTGCATTTTATTCCGCAAGATGACCCAGAAAGGCTCCTCGATGGCCCTCGCCGAGAGAACAAATGCACACATCAGAGCGATGCCGAAGGCCCCTTGATCATCCGAGGAGCGGGCTGACCGAGCACCGATCCTCCCCCAGAGCTTCGGAAGCTCCTCGACCTCGCCTCCGATCTTCCCTCGGGGATCGCATCCCTCCCTCCCCGAAGCCCTTCCCCTCCTTCGCTGCAGGGCGTTCCTCCTGTCTCCTCCTGCCTCCACAATTACACAATATGAATACTACCCTCCTCTCTCCCCTGATGACGTCTGGAAAATGTCCGGCCAGCCTACGCGTACTGTTTTTTACACACAAGATTCTCGGGAAAAAGGCTTTTCGCTGGTTTTTTTTTCAAGATGTTGCTCCCACTGAAGCGCTGGCATCATCATCGGGCTGCCGCTCGTTCCGTATCGTGCTCTCGCTGCAGCGCTGGCCTCATTTCCGCGCTTCCGCTCGTTCCGACTCGTGCTCCCGCTGCAGCGCTGGCGTCATTATTTCCAGTGCCATGCCACGGCATGAGCCCCCAAATATAGAAAATGGTCCCTCGACAAAAACCATCGGAAATTACTTCACATACGGTGTCGATTCGTTGATTTCTGAGGCCGCAGAAGTCCCTCTCTCCTCCCCAACTTTGCGGCGTCGCCATGCCATACTATGTCACGCTACGCGTTGATCTTCAACACCATGATGTGTCATGTAATGGTATGCCATGCTGCGGCATCCGGCTGTGCGAATAGAGAGGATACCTACGTCATGGTAAGGGATGGAATGGAGGGGTCGGACGTCAGATATGACGTGAGCGCACCTAGCTTGTCCCCCTCCCCCTCCCCCTCCTCCTCGTCCTCCTCGTCCTCCCTGCTCCTCCTCCCCCTACACGTTGGTCGGAAGAAGGAAGTAAAAACATGAATTAGGCAGGTAGATAAAGCAGATTGGCTTGAAGCCCTCCCATATAATAATGACACACAGCACAAGCATATCGGTTCTTAAAGTAGGCAGGCGCTTGACCCAGATTGGAATCTGGGAATCCAAACATACAAACTTTCAACGACCAACGTGTACTCATCCGCCCCGCCCTCCTCCTCGTGCACGTCTTCCTCATGGATCGCCGATGGGATCACGTTGGGGCGGCTCCCATTGGAATTCTAACGGTGCAGAACAAACTCAATCGCACGCGTATTCGCCTCCTCCCTTTGCGCTCCTCCCCCTCCGCTGTCCTCGCACATGCCATCGCATCGGCTCGAAGAGCGGTGGCACTGGCGGAACCCGCATTTTGACCGAGCCGTCGCGGCATTAGTTAGGCAGTGCTCAGACAGTACTGGTTCAGACTGTTCGCTGTGACAAAACACCGAGTCAAGCGCAAGTCAGACGTCCTAACATGTCGTAACTTTTGCAAGGGTGAATCCCCTCTCTTCTACCGAACGGATTTGTCCAGGCAGGCTCAAGCGATTAACACTGGAAATCAAGTCACCGTCTTGTTGTTTTGGCCCCGCTTGCCCATGGATCACATTACCCCCCTAGGGGTAATCCGTCCTCCCAACGCTTTCACAAAGATTCTAGAGCCAACTTTCTGCTCATTCTGAGGCAAAGAGTTCTCAAGCTGCGATTGCGCAATTGTTTACTCTACACGGCTCTAGAACATGTCGAAATATCGAAATTCGTCTAGATTCGAGCTTCGGCGGCTACAGAACGCGCAACAAGTGACAGCTTGCATGCACACCTGGCTACAGCAAATCCTGCGACGATGTATTCGCGATCATGCACTGCACAATATGGCAACGGTGCGGATCCTCCAAGATGATACAAGGAAGGCAGAAACACACATCTTCGAAGGTCCGCACAGATTCCTTGGATTTGAGTTGGATCTCCCTCCCTGGCGCGCGGAGTGCCAGGGGCGGCGCCCAAGGCGCCGCCGTGGGAGGACAGTGCCGCTCCAAGAAATCGGGGCTGTAATTTCATGTTTATGCAACTTTCTCTTCTTCGACCTCCTCCTCCTGCACCTTCTCGCACGCGCTGGTCCCAGCACTGTCGCTGATCGGCGTTGGGCTCCAACTCCGCCTCCTCTTCCCCTTCTGACGGGGAACATCAGGGGGGAGACCAAACCAGTGAGGGACATATCGACCTGGAATCGGCGATATATCGCCGATAGGCCCCGGATTAGTGAAACTGGACGCGCCTGGGCGGGGTGGGCCATCAGGCCCCTATCCGCGCTCAATGGGCCATTTGGCGTTTCCTCCAAGCCTCCCCCCCCCCCAACGTTGCCCCTTGGTTTTCGGGTCATGACTCGGCTCTCCGGCGGCCCTTGGTGACGTTTCGGGCATCCCCCTCAACGCTCTCGGCGAGGCGTAGCTGCTGGAGAGCCTCCCGAGGCTGGGAAGCCGCCAAGAACCAACGAAAGCGCCCGAACACCTCTGACCTCGAACCGCATTCCTCCTCCCCTTCCAATTCCACCACCAGACTTCAAGTCGGGCGTGTCCCCCTACAGGCGGATTTTGGACGAAAAATCAAACATACCCCAAACAAATATCCAAACACAATCAAAAATGGTTAAATCAATTTCCCCATATTATTTCTTACTATTTTGGAATATTCCTCCTGTAGAGGGAGAGGCCCGCTCTAAGCCTAGGACGGGTTGCACAATGACGAGTTCGCGCAGAGATAGGGCGGAGGAGAGGGCGGCCGCGGAGGAGGGAGGGAGAACAAGATGAGCTGGTCCAGCTGCCAGCGCTGCGGCCCAGGCTCTGGGGCACAGCCGACACACACACACGATGCAACTGAGACGCGGCGCTAAAGAAGAGTTCGGGCTCGGACCGGTCCTCCTCCTCCTCCTCCTTCTCCTCCTCTTCCTCCTCGTCCTCCTCCTCTCCGCCTCTTCGTCCTCCTCCTCCTCCTCCTCCTCCTCCTCATCCTCCTCCTCCTCCTCCTCCTCCTCTCCCCCTCCTCCTTTTCCTCCTCCTTTTCCTCCTCCTCCTCCTCCTCCTCCTCCTCTCCTTCGCTCCTTCGCTGGTTGCTCCTCTGGCACTCCTCGTTCCCTCAGGCGCCCTCGGGGCCTCGAGGGGCATTGTTCCTTGTTGATGTGCGAGGTCATGGCGCAAGAAGCCTAGGGGCACACTGGTCGTCGATCTCTGGGACTTCTGAAGAGCCTGGAGGAAGAACAAACATAGAGGGGCCCAGGGACACACAAACAGATACACACACACAAAATCCAGGAGTCCCGATATTTTCGTGTATTTTCTTGGTTTTCGTCTTCCCCCCATTTCCCATATTTTCCTGGGGGTCGGCGATCAATTGCGTCAGTGTGTTTTTTCCCCCTGAAAACCTCTACGGCAGGTTCGTGTCGTGCCGACCCCAGCGTTGGTTTTTTGACACCGCAGGGATCGTTCAACCTTGAACGATCGGCCGCTGCCGCAACGTCCGATCGTTCAACATCGATCGATTCTGGGTCGCTGGCGGCGTTCAACCTTGAACGCCCGCGCTGGGGTCGCCGCTGGTCGACACGACGCAAACCTACCGTACGACCATAAACTTTTGGAGCTCCGCGCGGTCTTCTCGCATCGGCGCTGGGCCCCCCGCCCGGGCGCGCGGAGCGCACCACGGGCGACGCCAGAGGCGTCGCCCATGGTGACTCCGAGCCGATCCGAGAACTCCGCGCGGAACTCCAGCAACTTGTTGACTACCTACCAGACCACCCCAACCCAACCCGAAGGCCCGAATTTCGGGTTGGGGGGGGTAAGGGTTCCATACGTGTTTTTTCGATGTTCCGCGACCCCCCCCCACTGGAAATGGAGGGCAAATCTGAGCCTTCGGGTTGGGTTGGGGTGGTTTGGTGGGCGGTGACTTGTGCTCACGCTGCGGTTTCGGGCGTAGCCCGAATTTGCTTCTCGCGAAGTATGCTGGCTGAACCGAGCTGAGCTGTGAGCTGAGCTGAACTGGACAGACTGGTCGCACCCGTTACGCGACGCTCATGTTCTCGGCCGCCGCGGGCGCAACCCATGGCGCAACCGATAGGAGACGGTTTTATTCTCGGCCGCCGAGGGCGCAACCTATGGCGCAACCGATAGGAGACGGTTTTATTCTCGGCCGCCGAGGGCGAAACCCATGGCGCAACCGATCGGAGACAGGAGGAGGAAGAGGAGAAACGAGGTCGAGGTCCTAGACAAGGACGACGGGGAGGAGCTGGAGCAGGAGGAAGACGAGGAGGATGAGGAGGACGAGGAGGACGAGGAGGAGGAGGACGAGGAGGACGAGAAGGAGGAGGAGGACGAGGAGGAGGATAACGATGATCAGGATGGGGAGGAGGACGGGGAGGAATGAGAGTAGTACGAGGACGAAGTGTAGGCATTCGAATGCGTGCGGGATTACGCTCGATTTATGCTCGCCGTTTGGGCTGGCGGTGGGGCACAAGCGGCGAGCTGCCTTGTGTTTTTGTTCTTACTCGACGTTTGTCGCCGATCGTTGAACCTCCTGAGGTGTCCCAAGGCTTCTGCTGGCCCCCGTGGCCGATGCACGATAAGAAACCTCCGTGTGGCACAGGCTGGTCTTGGAGGCGGCCAGGGGGTCTTAGCTAGATACGCCCAAAGAAAACTAGCCAAGAGGAGAGGATGAAGGCAACTTCGCTCAAAATCGGTCCTCAGACCCCCTCCCGGGGCGAGTCTGACTATTTTTTCGAGCCGCGTCCAGCCGTGGCACCGAATGAGCCCCTCCGCAACCCCTCTCTGCTGGCCGGCACCGATGCAAGGGCCACCTCGCCCCCCCCCCCGCTGGCTCCCGGGCTGGCCTCCCGTGCTCTCCGCGCGGCCGGCCCGTGGGGAAAAAACGCACAACACACAAAAACAAACACAAACACAAACACAAACACAAACACAAACACAAAGACAAAGACAAACACACAAACACACAAACACACAAACACACAAACACACAAACACAAACACACACACACACACACACGCACGCACGCACGCACGCACGCACGCACGCACGCACGCACGCACGCACGCACGCACGCACGCACGCACACACCCACACACCCACACACGCACACACGCACACACCCACACACCCACACACCCACACACGCACACACGCACACACGCACACACGCACACACGCACACACGCACACACGCACACACGCACACACGCACACACGCACACACGCACACACGCACACACGCACACACGCACACACGCACACACGCACACACGCACACACGCACACACGCACACACGCACACGCACACGCGCGCACACGCACACGCACACCCACCAACACCCCCACACCCACACCCACACCCACACCCCACCCACACACACCACATATACACACATTACCCACCCCACACACACACTATCACCCACCACCCACACCCACCACCCACACCACACCCACACCCACACCCACACCCACACCCACACCCCACCCCCACACCACACCCCACCCACACCACACCACACACCACCCAACACATACACCCACATACACCCCACCCCACACACCACACAAAACCCCACCAACCCAACCACACACCCCAACCCCACACACCACACCCAAACCACCACACTCCCACACCCACACCCACACCCCACACCAACACCCCACACCCCACACCCACACACCCCACAACCCACACCACCCCACACACCACACACCCACACACCCACCACATACACACACGCACACACGCACACACGCACACACGCACACACGCACACACGCACACACCGGCACACCGCACACACGCCACCCACGCACACACGCACACACCGCCACACAACGCACACACGCACACACGCACACACGCAAACACGCGCACAAGCACCACGCACACGCACAACGCCACACGCACACCCCCCACACCCACACCCACCCCACACCCACACCCACACCCACACACACACACATACACACACATAACCCCCCCCCACACACACAGCACACCCACCCACACACACCCACACCCCCACCACACCACACCACACCCACACCCACCCCACCCACACCCACACACACAAACCCAACACATACACACACATACACCCCCACCCCACACACATCACACACACCCCACACCCCCACACCCACCACCCCACACACCCACACCCCACACCCCACACCCCACACCCCCACACCCCCACACCCCACACCCCACACCCCCCCCACACACCCACACACCCACACACCCACACACACACACACGCACACACGCACACACGCACACACGCACACACGCACACACGCACACACGCACACACGCACACACGCACACACGCACACACGCACACACGCACACACATGGTGGGGAAAAACACACACTGTGGGGAACAACCACACTGTGTGCTTTTTCCCCGCTGTGTGTGTGTGTGTGTGTGTGTTTTCCCCACCCTGTGTGTGTTCCCCCCCCCCCCGACCCAGGTCTGCCGCCGCGGGGCCTCCTCTGCAGAACGCTGGCCTGCCCAGCGCTCCGAGGCCCGAGCGCCCCGCCGCGGCGGCGGCGAGGCGCTCGGGCCGACGGGCGCCCGGCGGCGGCGCTCGATCGAGGACCGCCCTGTCGGGGCTCGAGGCTCGAGGGCCGAAGCTCCTGGGCGCTCTCGGCTCCAATGCTGGGGAGTCCAGAAGCCTCTGGAGCTCCAGAGGCCTCTGACCCTGTGGGAGGCCTTCAGGGAGGAGGAGGAGGAGGAGGAGGAGGAGGAGGAGGAGGAGGAGGAGGAGGAGGAGGAGGAGGAGGAGGAGGAGGAGGAGGAGCAAGAGGAGGAGCAAGAGGAGGAGCAAGAGGAGCAGGAGGAGGAGCAGGAGGAGGATCAGTGCAAAGCCAAGACGCATGAATGATGCTGCAATAAGCCCTCTCCAAATTCCCTCTTCAGTAGTTGTCCCTAAAAGAAAGAGCTCGAACTCATTGCGGGAGGTGCCCGGTTGGAAGACAGCCGTCTCAGAGTCCGCAATCGCGCCGCGAATCAACGCCACCGTTGCGCCCGGACTATCCTAAGCCGCGTCAGAACGCCATTCCAAGGATTCCAACACCGCGGACCAACGTGACTGCTGCATCCTGACATTCTTGAGTCGTGCCAGAACACCGTTCCCCGGACTTCAACCACATAAATCCTTGAAGCTGTTGAGAACTTCAAAACAAATTTGCGTGGCGCGAACGCGAGAGCCACAATTTGAGAAGGGGCCGCCCTCCATCTGTGAAGCTGCTGCAAACCTTTAATGAGGATGTGCGCGGCCCTCGGGCTGAACACACATCTTGAAAGCGACCCGCAGTGTTGCACATGTCTGAGCGAATGTGCGCGGCGCTGGAGCGCTAACCACACATTGAGAACCACCCGCCCTCCACCCGTGAAGCCGTTGTGATTTTCGAGCTTCAGGATCCCCCATGGCGGTGAGGACGTGTCCGGGGAAACGCCCGGCCCGCCCTGCCGACTCGTCCAGGGTTGCGGCTGGAAGGAGTTATCTATATAAGTAAGAGGGATGGCGAAGAAGGAGGAGGAGGAGGAGGAAGAGGAGCAGGAGCAGGAGCAGGAGCAGGAGGAGGACCAGTGTAAACCTTAGATGCATGAGAGATGTTACAAAAAACACCCTCCAAGTTCCCTCTTCAGAGGCCCCATACAACGGTATATTTCCAATGAGGGAACAGCCTCGTTGGAGGACAACTGTTTGAAGACCCTGACGCATGCCAAAACATTGTGCTCGAGATTCCAACGCCCCGGATCAACCTGACTGTTGAGCCTTGACGATTCTGAATCATGTCAGAACGCCATTCCTGGGACTTCAACGCCGCGAACCAATGTAACTGTTGCACCCTCATAATCTTGAGCCCGTCCCAAACACCATGTCGGGTATGCTGCTGGGCACCCGTGAAACTCTTGCAAATGTGAAATATCAATGCGTGCGGCGCTTCGGCGAGAACCACATTTTGAAAAGAAACCGCTCTCAATCCGTGAAACTCTTGCAAAGTAATGGAAAAATGCACGCGGCGCTAAGGCGAGAGCCACATGTTGAAAACGGCCCGCCCTCAATTCGTGAAACTCTTGCAAGTGTCTAGAAGTAACGTGCGCGGCGTTGAAGCGAGAGCCACATTTTGAAAACGACCCGCCCTCCATCTGTGAAGCTCTTGCCAATTGTTAAGCTTCAGGGTCATACATGGTGAGGAAGTCTCAGGCGAAACGCCCGGCCCGCCCTAAGAACTGGCCTGGGAGTGAGACAGGGAGAAATCATTTATAAGGAAAAGGAATGGAGGAGGAGGAGGAGGAGGAGGAGGAGGAGGAGGAGGAGGAGGAGGAGGAGGAGGAGGAGGAGGAGGTGGAGGTGGAGGAGGAGGAGGAGGAGGAGGAGGGCGCGCCCCGTGGTAGATCTGCAGCGGCATGTCCCCGCGGTCGTAGAAACGCCTGAATTCGGACGCCGTGACGGCGCGCCGCTGGGTGGACCTCGGCTTGTGCGCACGCGCATGCTCTGAGCAGTTTGGCGTACCCCAGCAATACGATCTGGTGGACTGCGTCCTGACCGCCGCAGCGGGGCAACAATATAAGATCGTCTCGCGCAAGAGACCTCCAAAAGGCCCACGAGAGCCACCCTAACGCCGATCAGATACCCCAAAGAGCCCTCCAAGAGGTCCCTGAGAGGTATTCCAGGAGACCCTCATATGCATCCCCAAGACTCCTGATCCACAGCACAGGCCAGGCACGGTGGCACGACTGTTGACGAATTCGCTCTTCTGGGGGTCTGCGGGATGGCGTAAGCCTCTTGAATGAGATCGCCGCGCACACGCAGGGAGGAGAGGAAGTGGGTACCCACGCGAAAGATCAATGGCGCACCGAATGCCGGGCGCGCCGAGCGGCGTCCGAGCTGCACCGCAAACGAGTTCATCCAAGCTTGCAGCATTTCTGATACGCGCAGCGAACATCACAAGCGAGATGTGCAGCGCGGCGAAGGCCGTCAGGATATTTTTTGAGCAGGTGCCAGAGCCAGGTGCGAGTCTAGATGTGTGTGTGTGTGTTTGATACAGATGTGCTTGGAGCAGGTCGACTTGCGCCAAGATGTCTCACTCGATGATTTCGGATGTCTGCGGTCCGCGCGAAGGGTGTGCCGAAGCCACATGTGGACACCCCCGCAGGGGCCGTGGCCAGAGCGCTGCTCGCACGTGCTGGTGCACTTTCATTCCCAATCATCCTGTGCTGAATTGCGTCCTCGTTTTGAATCAGCAGCGCTCCGCGTCCTTCCTCCTCCTCCCCCTCCTTCCCCCTCCTGCCATCCCTGTCTCTGCCCTCCGCACGTCCGCATCGTCATCGTAGTCGTATCGTCATCATCATCATCATCATCATCATCATCATCATCATCATCATCATCATCATCATCATCATCATCATCATCATCATCATCATCATCATCATCCCCATCAACATCGGCAGCCCGTTCCTGCCTCAGCCCTCCCATGTCCGTTTCGGCACACCCCTCACACATTTCGTGGCCCCAGAAGGAGCTCGACCAACGGCTCCAGAAGCAAAGTCCGCAGGGTTCGCATCGGCGATGCCTCATTTCACCAGCGGCCCACATGCCATGGTCCGCATGGCGGCGGTGCCTCGTTTGGGTACACTGCTCACACCTTTCGTGGCCCCATAGGGAGCTCCAGCTACGGCCCCAATGCCAGGGTCCGCATGGCGGGCGGCAGTACCTCATTTCGGCGCACCCCTCACAAGGTTCGTGGCCCCATGGGGAGCTCCACATGAGGCCCAACTGCCAGAGTCCGCATGGCGGCAGTGCCTTATTCGGGCACGCTCTGGGCACGTTTCGCGGACCCTTAGGGAACTCCACCAAAGGCTGCAGTGCTAGGGTCCACATGGCGGCGGTGCCTCATTTCGGCAAACCCCTCACACGTTTCGTAGTCCCATAGTCAGCTCCAGTTAAGGCCCAAAGGCCAGGGTCCGCAAGGCCGTCGGTGCTGCATTTCGACACGCCCTTCACAACTTTCGTGGACCCATAGGGAGCTCCACTTAAGGCCCTAATGCCAAGGTCTGCATTGCGTCGATGCCCCATGTCGGTGCATCCCTTACACATGCTGTGGCTCCACAGAGAGCTCCACTGAATGCCCCAACGGCCATGTTCGCATGTGGCCGCCCCGCCCATTCCGGCACACCCCTCGCACGTTTCATGGCTCCATAGGGAGCTCCACCCATTTCGGCACACTCCTCACGCACTTCATGGCCCCATAATGGGGCTCCACCCAAGGCCCCATAAGCAACGTTCGCATGTGGCCGCCCCACCCATTTCGGCACGCCCCTCACACGTTTTGTGGCCCCATGGGGACCTCCACCTGAGGCCCCAGTGGCGACG